ATCACCCTCGAAGGAACCAGTAGCTTAGTTCAGAGGCCAGCTCTAGGGTATGAGAATGGAAGGGGGGGGTACAGTGAGGACACTCCCTACCCCCTCACTCTGCCATGCTGGCGGCCTCCCCTTTCCTGGGAGGAACCCAATGGCCTGGGTCTGTGCCCTCATCCCCTCTCCCTCCTCCCTCTTTCCACCCACGCCTGGGCACCATGACATCACCACTCCCCAAGTACCTCTATCCCCTCCATGGAGGCCAACTTGACGTGCTTGGCATCTTCTGGGCGAAGGGCCTGGAACCCAGCGCTGCCCCTGGCACGCTGGCAGCCCCCAGGCCTCTCCCTCTTCCCCCTCCTCAAACAGGCCTCCCCCCGGGGGTGGAGACCTGTGGTGCCCAGATGCGGGTTCAGGATCCTCCAGTGCCAGGGGCGGGGATAGCACTGACTGGGAAACAGGCTGGGTTGAGGTTCACATCTCTCTGGTGTGGCTGCTGGTCTGATGGGGCCAGAAATGGGCTGGAGAGGGCAGAGTCTGCCTATGATCCTGGTCCCCTGGGGCTCTCTGAGGGGCCCGAGTCATCAGTCTAGCCTTTGTACCCCCTGGCATCCCTGCCCACCTCCTAGAATCCCTACACCTCCTGCCAGACTACATCTCCCCTCTACCCCCAGCTTCCCTCAGGCCCCTCCAGACTCTGCTCCCCCAGGGAGGGCTCTGGGTCCCCCATTTCTGTCCCCCACCTCCCCTTTGGCTGGCACCTGGTGGGAGTGAGATATGCAAATTAATTCCTGTGTGACTCAGGCCCCTCCTTCTGGTGCCCCAGGGGCCAGTACCTTGTCTGTCCGATCCTCTCTTCCCACTCCCAGGAACACCTGTGGCCCAACCTTTTGACCATTTTCAGTCTCCTATGTTCTCCCACTTCCCAGGCTGGTTCCAGAGTGTCCCCGAGGTACCCCCTCCCTTAGCCAGCTCACTCTGGTCTCCACAGGATTCACCCTGCCACTGAGACCCTTCCCGGGAGTTTCCTACCTACTTGGGCCCAGGGCCCCAGGCACTTCTGGGATCTGTCTCTGCAGAAGCAAGGGACTGTGGGAAAAAGCCAGAGCTCGGTGAAGAACGAAGACCAGCCCCCTTCCCACACATCCCATGGGCTTCTGCTCCAAACTCTGTCCACCCTCCCCCAGCCGAGCCTGCAACCTCCTCTCTGTCCCCTCTCTGTGCCCTCCCCAAGGCATGCGGCCCTCTCCCTGCCCTCAACCATCATCCTGTGTTCATCCCGAAGCTGGCCTGGTCTGGCCTCCCTGTGTCCCTTGGACCCAGGCCCCAGGCCGGGCAGGGCCTCAGCAGGCCTGCAGGGGTCAGCGTTGCAGTGGGCAGGCCAGGCGGCTTCAGGGAGGGAGGAAGGGAGGGAGAGGTGACCTTGCAGTGAGTGAGCGCACAAGGCCAGAGAGGGAAAGTCTGGGCCAGTGCAGCAGGGCTGGGAGAGAAGTCCGATCCTGAGGCTGCCTGCCCTTCGAGCTTGTCCCTGGGGGTAGCAGTACTCCAAGTCTTGTCTGGCCCACCTGTTAGTAGGCCCTGGCCTCCACAGCAACTCTGCCACAAAGGTCATTCTTAGGGAGTGTAGGGGACACAATGCATGGGGCAGTGGGCCTTGGCATGGTGGGTATCCTCTCTCAAGGCAGAAGGATCTGTGAGATTGTCCAGGCCAACCCTCCACCCACTGGGCACAAGTTAAGGGCAGAGGCCATTGGGTGATTCATGGGGCAGGAGTTAGGGTTATAGCTGAAAGGGCCACCAGGATTAGGGACCAGGGTTGGGGTGTGGGAAAGTCCGATGAGGCCTGACTCTGACCATTTTGCTGTCAAACTCTAGCCCCACCCCTATCTACCCCTCCACCCCTCCACACCACACCTCCCCCCGCCCACCACCGGCCCCATCTGCACAGGCCCAGACCGCCCTGGCTTGTGTGTCAAGCTTGGGCCCCAGGCTAGGACTAAAGAGCAAATGATCTCCCAAGAGGCCATGGCTGGGAGTGGGGGCCTGGGGCTGGGCAATCTGAAACCCTGGGTGGGTGGGATGGCTTCTGTGGGCCTAGTGCCCCCAAACTGTGTGTTGCTATGGAGACAGGACCCTCCTGGGCCTTGGGTCATGCTGTCTGCTGACCCTGTGGGAATAGCTTGACCAATGGGGCTGGGTACTCAAGAACTGGGGGCTGGTGGGGAGGGAGATAGCTGCAAAGCCCCTCCCGCTTGGGGAAGAGAGGCTACAGCAGGCTGGATTGGGGTGGGAACACGCAGGCCAGCAGGTGACAGGTGAGGGACAGCTGGAAGGCAGGGGAACAGGTGGGTGTCAGGCCCTAGGAACCTGGGCCCTGCCCCTTGCCGACCCCGAGCTTGGGCCCAAGACGCACTGAAGGCAATATAGAGGACCAGGGAAGGGCTGTCCCCCTCCGCACCCCCTCCAGCCCAGCCCAGCCCAGCCCAGCAGGAGGCCTTGAGGGAAAGGCAGGGGAGGAGTGGGCGGTTCCTTCCCTGTGGCACCCCTCCTTTTCTCCCACCCCCACTGCCCGCCCACTCTCTATTCTCTGAGGGACTTTGAATCCTTATTGAATCTGATGGACCGTTTTCAATAACTGCTTCCCCCAGGGGAGTGAGCAGGGAGAGGAGCAGTGAGGGGGGCTTTGTGGGGGGGCAGGAGGCCCAGTCCTGAGCCAGGGACTCTTGGCTGGAAGGGAGTCTTTGGGACAGTCTCCTCAGAGGCACCAGTGCATCCCAGGTGGGTGTGGGCAGCTCTGCTCCGTGGGCAGCACCCAGCAGGTGGCACATGAGGCCGGTGAGGTCAGCTCTCTCTGTCGTGGCGGTCACTGGTCTGGCCAGGTGCCGGAGCCAGCCCGTGCCAGGTCCGGCCCGGGTGCCCGCCTGCCTTGCAAGGGAACCCCAGCCGGTGGTGCCAGTTCCACGGACACGGAGGTGCCTGACCGTCCAGGCAGTAGGGGGGGCAGCCTTGCTGGGCCCCCGTCCAGCTCATGTCTGGAGGGCATGGCTTTGGTCTCACCCAGCAGCATTCCCCAAGGGTTGGAACGGAGTTGGCAGACAGCTTGGGACCTGTGGAAGGGGCTGGATGGTGCCCAGAGCGTGCGCCTGGAATCCTGGACCCCGTTGGTTTGGGAGGTGGGCTGGAGGTCGTCGGGCCTGCTCTGGGGGGCTCTGTAACAGCTCCCACCCGGAGGGCCCCCTAGACAGGGGTGCGTCCCCTGTGGGGCTGGGCGGGGCGCTTGGATCAGGAGCCGGGATGTTTGGGGAATTGATGTATTCTTGTCATTGAACGTGTGGGGCCACAGCGCGGGTGGAAAGCGAGGGCGGGGCCGGCGGGGGAAAGCACTGTGCCGTGTGTACCTACGTGCGGGTGCCGGTGCCAGCTGGACTGGGTAATAGCTGCGCTCGCTCGTCTGAGTGCCGGGCGGGCTGTAAACAGCAGCTAATGAGTGTATTTGTAGTTAGGTGCCTTGAGGTGCACGGGGAGTTGTGACGGAGAGCGCTGGGGAGGGCGCCTCCCTTGGCCCTATATATACCCGGGCAGGCAGGGCCTGTGCCCTCCAGGGGCCCCGCCTGCCCCCTGCCACACCCTTCCACCTGCTGGCTCTGAGGCTTCCAACTCCTGGGAGCAGGGAGGGCCTCACCTGGCTGTGCGACGTGCATCGGTGTGGGGTGTTGGAGCTTTGGTGGGTACAGATACGAGCATTTTCACGACGGCATGCGGGTCTGGCCAAGGGCACGTGCGCGCATGCGCACCTGTGTGTACTACATCCGATTCCCTGCATGTGTACGCGCCCCTCCTTCCGAGCCCTGAGAGGAGGCTGCCCCCACCCCCATCTTGGTAGTGGTCCTGGCTCCTTTGATGCCCTTCTTGGAAGCTGGCGGCTCTTGGGCAGGCTTGGGGGGACAGGGGGTGACCTGTTGTATCCATCAGAGGAAACAGGAGGGAGAGGTCTGAGCCCCAGCCCCAGGGGGCTCCCACAGTTGCTACTTGCATCAGAGAAAGGGGAGACCTTGGGGCTTACAGAGAGCCCGGCCAACTCTCTGGTTCCAGAACCCTCAGGAGCCCCAGGAATGAGAGAGCAGGTGTGCCACCGGGGCGGGGGGGGGGGGGGGGGGGCGGGGGGGTCAGCCCTAGTAGGTAGGGGTCTCCCAGTGCTGGTTGATGAAGTGTGAAGCCTGCCCCCAGCCAGGATGGGGTGGTGTGGGGTATGGGAGACCACAAGGGGTGCCTGCGTGAGGCCCCGCATGGGGGGGGAGCAGAGAAGAGAGCTCTGTGGCTAATGTGTCCAATTAAATTACTTCAAACCCTGCCGCGGCAGCTGCTCCCGGCGGGGCCCTGGGTACAAATTGGATCCGTCTCATTACCACGGGTGGTGTCAGCGGGGCCAGAGAGCGGTGGCCAGCTCAGCCAGCACTCGGCAGGCCTTCTCCCCCTCGCTCAGCCTGGGCCCCCGACAGCCCCCTTGAGCCTTTGCTCAATCCAGTACCCCCTTGGGTTTCCCAGGTCGTGCACACCTCCTCGCCATCCTGCCCCCCGTCCCTGGCAGCCCAAGGGCCCCTCTGAGCCCTCACTTTCTTTCTCCAGGTATGGGGTTTCATGCTTTATAGGGGGTCCAGCGTAAGGAAGCCCCTCTCAGGTCACCCAGCACGTCCTGCGCCCTCCCTCGATAATAACAATAGCACGATAATAACAGCAGGAGCGCCTAGTGTTTGCTAGGCACTCTGTGCACGTGCAGCAGGGGGTGGCTTGCTTAAGCGAGGTCTCTGGGGTCAAACAGCTATCTCTGAATCCTGGCAGAGACACTTGCTGCGCCGTCCCTGGAGCCCGTTACTCCACTATTCTGGCTTCAGTTTCTTTCTCTGTTAAATGGGTATGATGATGATTCTGATTTCCCAGAGGGTTGGAGGGTGAGGCTAGGTAAGGCGGGAAACATCTTTCGCAGAGAGCTCAGCACATAGTAAACACTCAGCCAATGACAGCTGTTATCTTGTCATTATCCTGCACCAAGTGATTGATGTCTGGGATGGGGGTTCCGGAAGCTCCAGGGAGGACATGCCTGCTTCAGCCCCGGTGGAGGAGGAGTCGGGGGGCGGGGGTTCCACTGAAGCAGTGTCAGTCGGCTACCTTCAGAACAGCAAAGATGTGTTGAGTGATCACTACGGGCCAGGTGCCGTTCTAAGAACATGACCTGTGTTAGCTCTTCTATCCACAGATGGCTCTGGAAAGGGGGAGCTTGCAGTGAGAAGCTGGCTTGGGGTTCCAGCAAACACCAGCAGACCCAAAGAGCATGAGCTTTAGTCCGGGGCCTTGGGTTTTGAAGAAAGGCTAAGAGCTTGCCACGTGAGCAGTAGGGGTGAGGCGTTCGGTGTGGCGGGGGACAGCACACCGCAGTGTGTGGCCCGGAAGTGGGGTCTCGTTCAGTTGAAGCAGCACTGAGTGCTTGGACGTGGCCAGAAGGGAAGCTGTTAGGGGACACTAGCCGGAGTTGAGGCTTGGGAAAGGTAGGTTGGGCCAGATTGTGAAGGTCCTGGCATTCTGAAATAGGAAAACTGGATTTTTTTTTTTTTTTTTTTTAATTAGGGCAGTGGAGAGCCATGGATGACTTTCAAGCAGATCTCTATTAAAGAACTTTTAACTCTGCAGCAGTGTGGAGGGTAGGAGGCCTGGAGCCAGGCAGGTGTATGGAGCCAGGGTGGCAGGTTAACATATCTGTTCCCACCTTTGCCCGGCCCCTCCTGGGTCTCTTCCCTGCACGGGGCTGAGTCTGAGGCACCACGCCAGGAGGTCTGCAGCATTCAGCTGGCCTGGGGCCCTACCCTTGGAAAGCTTGTGGCAGGTAATGGGCCGTCAAGGGGACACCAGGTGACAACAGGTGCAGATGGGCACTGCCAGGGGACTTCCCTAGGGATCTGGGGCATCAGAAAAAGCTTTCCAGAGAGGGACGTAGAGCCAAGGTGGGCCAGTCCGGGGCCCAGGGGACACGGCAAATGCTCCTGGGGGTTGGATGTGAACCGTACCCCACACCGCAGGCCTCTGGGCCGGGCCCTGGGAGAGCCGCACAGCTCACGCTGCCAGGCCTGAGCTCCAGAGCCCCACCAGAGACAACCTATCTCCACGGCAACTAGGCAGGTACCTCCCTCTCCGTGCCCACGGCCCCTGGCACAGGGGCCCATTCACAGCAGGACTTGGGTACGCCTTCCCACTTCCCTGGGGCCTCGTCCCAGGGCAAACGCCCTGATAGCCGGCGCTGAGTCGCACACGCGTGTTGGTATTTGGGTCCATGTGCACACGAGATGTGTAACGTGCCCCCTACAGCAGGAAGCAGGGAGGCGGGGATGGTCTACACTGCCTACCCACCTTAGCTGGGGACTTGTTCCCTGGGGGTGAGGGTCAGGTGGGCACCGAAGAGCATGATGCCAGGATGATCCCTCAGGGGCCACGGCGAGGAAGGCAGCCCAGAGGAGTGGTTGGGCAGGGCTGCAGGTCGGGGAAGGTGGCGAGACAGAATCTCCCAGCAGGGCCTGGCGGGTCCACAGACCCCCTCGTTCTCCACGTTCAGCCTTGCATTTCTTCTTCACAGCAGTCCTGCGAGGGAGACAGCATTGCCACTGGTGTCCAGATGAGGACGCTGAGGCCCAGAGAGGACCCACCGGGGACCTGAAGTGTCCCACAAGGTCACTCAGTAGAGCAGGGGTGTCAGCTTCACTCCAAAGGCTGGGTCTTGACCACCAGGCTGCACTGCCCGGTGCCCCCCTAATCCCACTAGGATCCAAGCCAGCCCGCCTCTCGGCCCATCACTTGGAAGGGAGTGCTGGGAACTGGTGTTGGGACACAGAGGGGTCCCCAGTGCCTCCTTCAGTGCTTGTGGCATCCCCTAAAGCCTTTGTTCTCAGGTCCCTGAAGTGGGGCGCAGCTCCCTTCCCACCCTGTCTCCTCTCCCTCTCAGCAGGCTCAGTGGAAGGTTCCTCTCAGTCAAGGGGAGGCTCTGAGGAGAAAGAGAGGAACCCCTCACTCGCTGCTTGGCACCTGCCAGCCCTGGAGGAGCCTGATGAATCGGCTGTGTGTGGCGCCCCCCCCCCCCCCCGGCCCCATTCCTCCCTCTCCAGCCCCCGCCTGGTTGGGGAGGTGCGAAGGAAGCGATTTCACAGCCTGTCAGCTGAGGCCTAAAAATACCCAGAACTCCGAGATGCTTGGGCAGGGGGAGGAGAGAGCAGGGACCAGGCTGGGGTGCTGGGGGGGGTGCAACAATGCTAACTTGGCCAGAGCAGCCCTCACGGCTCGAGAGCCCTAGTCAGACGTGATGGGCAGGGATGCCCTACATCCCCCACCTGACCCCATTTCTGGGTCTTGAGAGCTCCGGCCCTCAGAGCCAAGGGAGGGCTTAGTCTCAGACAGGAACCGTGGCACCCAGGCCCTTCAGAGCCTCTGGTCGATGGCTCTTTCTCCCTCTCCACCCCTGAGTTGGCTGGCATCTTTAGGCCGTGGGAGCCAGGCTGGGCCTGTGCCTGCTTCCTTCCTGGAGAAGGTGCCTGCTTCTGTTAGGGGAGAGGCGTGAGGAGGGCAGCGTGGATGGGGGTGCTGGCAGGCGTGCAGTGTGATGTGCGAGCCACCCAGGCACTGGAGGGGGGCAGAGGAGAAGGGGTGTGGCGGCCCGCGTCACTGCCACGTGGCTGTGTGCGAAAGCCTGGCACAGGCCCCCCCTCCCCCACCGCCACGAGGCAGCCAGTGCCCTGAAAGGGGGGCACGTGTGTGTGCATGCGTGGGGGCCCGCTGGAGCTGGCCTGATCTAGGTCCCAAAAAGCTCATGGACACGTATGACCGGGCGGATGTAGCGAGTCCAGACAGAAACTGGGCGAAAGCCCAGGCGCAGGTGGCGAAGCATCAGCAAACACGTGTTGCATCCGGCAGACACATGAGGGTGTGTGTGCTTCCCGTGTGGAAACATGATGGCATGTATGCCCGGGCACAGGAACATGGGAAGGCCTCTCTGGGGCCCTAGGCAGGAGCTGGGAGGCTCATCAGGGAAATAATGGGGTTCATGGGGTGCCTGTGTGGCTCGATAGAGCACGCAGCTCTTGATCTTGGGGTCGTGAGTTCAAGCCCCACGTCGGGGGGTTGGAGGTTATGGATAATGCATACGTTAATTAGTTAAAAGAAATTGTAAGTAATGGGGTTCAAATCCCAGTTCTGCCATGTACTGGTTGGCTGTGTGACCTCGGGCAAGTCACTTAACCTTTCAGTGCTTCATTTCTCCGTCTGTAGAGTGGAGGTGATAACAGCACCTACTTCAGAGGGCTGTTGGGAGGATATGATGAGTTGATGTATATAAACTGGCTGGAACTGTGCCTGTCACCGAGTCGGCACCATGCACATACTAGCTCTTATTATCGGGTTCTCCCCTTCAGTGACACAGGTGGGAGCGCCAAGTCCAGAGAGGGCAAGTGACCTGCCCAAAGTCACACAGTAAGTGAGTGGCAGAGCCAGAGTTAGAACCCAGACTCCAGTGCCTTAGGACGGGGCTTGTTCAAATTTAACTTCATGAGACCGCCCCCGCTTTGGACCACAAGAAGTCCCTACAACACAGGACCGTAACCACATTGGCATCTAGGGCCTAGATTCTGCCAGGGCTGGGCTGGATCATGGGAACTTGGGGATCTGAGCATCTTCAGATAATGCCAGGGTGGATGGGTCCTCAGGGCAGTGGTTAGACGCCTGATTTAGAAACATGCCTCTGATTAGCCTGTGGACTTGGCCAATTACTCAGCCTTCCCGAGTCTCAGTTTCTTCCCTATAATGGAATAACAGTAATACATACTTTATGGGGTTATTGTGGGAAGAAAATGAGATCCCGCATGCAATGCTTTAAGTGACTGGAACATTGTGCCTAATAAATGCTCGGTAATGTTAGCTGCAATTATAACCCATGCAGAATGCTCCCACCCAGGGCTCCATAGATGGTGACTTCCTGGGACGCCCGGCTGGCTCCGTCAGTTAAGTGGCTGACTCTTGATTTCGGCCCAGGTCATAATCTCACGGTTTAAGCCCGGTTCGGGCTTCATGCTGACAGCACAGAGCCTGCTTGGGATTCTCTCTTTCCCTCTCTGCCCCCGCCCCTCTTGTGTTCGCTTGCTCACTCGCTCACTGTCTCTCAAAATAAATAAACTCCGAAAAAAATGATGGAAAATTGCTTCTCTCTCAGCCTCTGACTACCCTTACTCCCTTCCATACTTCACAGGGCTTAGACTGCTCAGGGGCAGTTTGCAAGCAGCCAAGACCCGTCTCTGCCTCCTGTTACTGGTTTTGCCCAGAAAGGAACAGGACCCACCACTGGGACTTAGCTCCTGAGCCCTCTACATCTGGCCTCATCACCCACTTGGTATATGAACTTGGATAAGCACCATTTCCTCTCGGGTCCTGGCTTTTTCCTTCTGTAAATTAGAAAGGCTGGACCCCATAGTCCCAGATCCTCCTGGTCATGTTGCTGTGTGACCCAGGAGAGTCCCTGGCTCAGCTCACTGGAGGGGGTGGCAGGTTGACAGGAAGAGAGGTCGGCTGGCTTCCCTGAGTGAGCGGAGCATCTGGGGCCTGAGCCGACTGGTGGCCTGCCATCATGCCAGCCCGCACCTGTGGCTGCGTAGGAGGGCATGTAGGCCCGACTGGCTGGGCACTGACATTGGGGAGGCTCAAGGACGATGACTAGAGAGAGCCCTTCTTGGGGCCCTGGGAGCTGCCACTGCAGCCGTCCTCCCCCGCTCTCCTCCCTGTCTCCCCCGGGCTTTCCTTCAGCAATTCCTCCTTCCTCCCTGTCCTTCCTCTCTCCTTCTCCTTCCTGGAGTCTCCCAGTATCTCCTTCTCTCTTTCCTCCTCCAATTTAGTAATGTTGACCATTTTCCAGGGTGCCTCCTTCCTTCCTCTCCCTCTGCAGAGGGGAGATCTCTCCCCCCTCCTCTGTCTCTCAGTTTCCTGAGATTCCTCCTTTTTCCTTCCTACAACATGGAAGAAATGTCCCTGTTTCTCTCGATCTTCCTGGCTGCCCCTGCTGCTCCTGAGCCTAGGTCTCTCTCTTACTCTGCAGGGGCATGTCTAGGCCCCTTCATTTCTTGTCCCCTGGCTCTCTCCCACTTCACAGTCCCTCCTTCCCCAGTGTCCCCACCTCTGCCTCCATTCTTCCAGTTCCTTGGTGCTCCATACTCCTCCACCATCTCCCCTGCCCTCCAAAGTTTCCCAGCCTCCTTCAGATGATGGGGCTGATGGGGCTGAGCCGGGCAGTTTCTGTGGCTGGTGCTGCTATTCAGTACCTCATTAACCCCCCACCCCTGTGAGTTCAGAAAGGGGGTCAGCCCAGGGCCCAGGGACTGGCAGCCTTGCCTCCTAATTAGTAGGAAGTAATTGCCTGGAGAAAAAAATTTCATTTAGAATGAGACTCTGAGATTCCAATGTAAAGCAGAGCCAACTGATGGCCCCTGGGGACCAGGAGGAGAGAAGCAGCCGAGGTCAGGGTCTCGGGAAGCCCCCGGATCCCTTCCCTGGCTTGCCCCCAGGACCCCAGCCTTGCAGAAATAGGGAGAGAGCCCTGGGCTGGGAGTACCACCATTGTCATCTGAGTTTGGTTCCACTACTCCTTGTGTGACTGAGGGCAAGTCACTTATTTCTTTGTGCCTTAGTTTTCTGTCCTGTAAAATCAGAAAAATGCCTTGGTATCGTGAGGGTTGATTTGGACAATGGCTATGAAAGCACTTCGCGGGCTGTAAAGTGCTGTGGGAGTGTGAGGTGTTACTGTGTTCCTCCAGTCTGCCCTCATAGGAGATGTGAGGATGTGGAGGGGTGGAGCAGTGAGGCTTCCAGAACATGGAAGGATGGCGAGGTGGATCCTGCGGAGCTGAAAGATTAAGGGCAGACAATGGGGTTTTCTATGGCAGTCTCAACACAGGCCAGCTGCACCACCCTGAGTGGTCACCTCACCTCTCTGGACCCCACTTTCCTCATCTGTAGAATGCTGATCATCATGCTTCCTCCCGGGGAGGGGTTGTAGTTTTAAAGGAGATGAAGTCTGCAGAGCTCTTAGCAGTTCTTGGCCTATAGTAAGTTCTCAATAAATTATATTATCTGTATCTACTGTAATTGAAGACTGTTATCTTTACTCCCTACCTGGACCCAGAGAAGCTGTGATTTGGGGTATTGTCTTAAGGTGGTTTTCTTTGTTTTGCTGTTTGTTTTTGGAAAGAGGGGGAATTTCTACACCCAGTGGGGCTAAAATAAAGCAGTCCCTAGAAACACCAAGCAGATCTGCTTATCAAAGAGGCCCAACCTGTGGCGTAGGGAACAGGAGCGGGGTGAAGCTGTGGCCTTCTTCCCTGACTCCCACTTTCTCCTAGAGAAGGGCTTTAGGCAAGTTTCTCATCTGGGTGGGTGTGAGGTAGGGAGCCTTTGCCCTCAGGGAGGCCTATTACAACCCTTTGTGTTCCTTTTGGTAGGTTTGGCTCTACTGCAGGGAGGAAAAGTGTTTGTTTAAACTGATCTACCCCACCCTTCTGGGAAGAGGGAGCAGGAAGTTTAGCGTGGTCCGGGTTGACCACTGGGTTGAGTCTTTGCTATGAACCAGGCAGTATGGTGCCCCAAGGCCGCCTAAACGCGGTCGGACTGTCTGGAACGTGCAGGTTATTAGGCAGCGCTGCAAGCACAGAGCGCCATATTTTCCCGGAATGGCTGAGGGGACGGCGACGGGGACTGTCTGCCACTCCTTCACCCGCCCAGTGCCACCGCGGGGGACATTCTGTTTCTGCTCTAAGCGCAGTACCCGCACCAGCCGCCAGGAGGCAGTTCGGCGGGCCCCCACTTGAGGGAATGGGATATGGCATTTACCTTACCGGGGAGGCTTTTTTTTTTTTTTTTTTTTTTTTTTTTTGTCATGAGTCG